AGGTGGATCGGTCATGTGATACGGAAGGCCAGTAACAACATAGCCAGAATTGCAAGGCACTGGACACCTGAAGGTAAACGAAGCAGAGAACGCCCGAAAACAACTTGGCGCAGGACAGTAGAGAAGAGACTAAGGGAGCTCAAGTATAGCTGGAGCACCATTGAAAAACTGGCTAAAGATAGACAGGGTTGGAAGGATTTCGTCGCTGCCTTATGATCCACATAGGCAAGATAGGTAGTAAGTAGTCAGATAAGATGGGATTGGAAGTGAGTTTAGCTGGTATATTTTTCAAATAATCACTCATGCCATCAATGACTTGTTGTTCATCAAACTGCTCATATGTTTTCTCTTCAACCTTTGTCTCTGCAATTTGCTGCCGAAGGCCATTCTTAGCGCTTGCTTCCTCTAGAAGAATTTTGCCTTAACCTCTTATGCTGCAGCCCTAGCCTTTGATTCAATCAACTTTAACTTCGTGGATGATGTTGAGAAAGTGGAGGACCTTAAGTGACCGGATGATTAGATTTCACTGCGCGTGTATCATGTGAATCACCACGCAACTTCTTTGCCTCATCCAGAAACTCAATAATACTTTGCCTTGATTGAAATACAAACCCTATCACGACTCTTATACCATTGTTGAGCCAATTTAATCTCACCATCATCATCTGGGCAACTGATATACATATCATGTGCTTCTTGCATTTTAACAAGTAGCTTATCGAATTGCTCAACTTCAGTAGGTACTTGTTTTTTGCTCTCAAAATCTGCCAAAAAAGGCGAGATTATGTTTATCTGCCTAGTTAAGTTAGCGAGTGCAGTTTTCCGATTTTCCTTTAACCTATTAATCTCAAATTGCTTACCCTTTTCCGTTTTTTCGCGCGTCCACGTGAGTTTCATCAGCAACTACAATAAGGGTCAGTGGAGATGTTGCACGTGGTGACCAACGGCGAGATGATTTTTTTTCCAGATCCATTTCACGCCAGATGGCATCTTTTTCTTCATCGAAAATGTTAATTTTCCTTTGGAAATCTCGCTCCCTGCCTCTTTTGTGTCCTTCTATGTGTGATTCACTCTTGGTCATACTGTATCAGCCGTAAAATCCATTCTTTATTCCTCTAGATCAGCGAAACGCTACACACTGTCCGGTGGTTTACAATACAAAAATCTGTTACCATAACCGTTAATCCACCAGTTTACACAATTTTCAATCCTTTCGCTTCCTGGTTAGTTCCTTGACAAACGACAGTCCAGTAACTGGTTCCTTGGTTCCTTTTATCAATGGGTATTATATAACTATTTAGGCTACTTTAACCATGTGAACTACCTCGACGAATTAAAATAGATTCTGTTATTTCTACAGTTTATTTGTGTCTGCTTCTTTGAGCATTTAAGCACTCGAAGTATTTGAGCCAGCTTGTGAAATTCGTGCAGTTGAACCGATTTTCTTATCCAGGCTTTTTACGCAGTTAAGCCATTTCAGCAAGCGAGGCATTTTGTCATTTAAGTCAGTTTGACAATTTTAAATGTACAACCAATTAAACTAGTTGGACTATTTTGACTTCTTTACCCAATTGGGGTAGATTTTGCAGCTCTTCTATTTAACGAGTTGAACCCTTTAAATTAGTCATGCATTTTATCCAGTTGAACCATTGAAGCTAGTATAGCCATTTGAACAAATTAAATCGACAAAAAAGGATTGTGCAATTTGTGCAGTTTACCTGTCTTTAAACAGTTAAGATAGATTGTGCAATTTTTCTCAGGTGACCTCAGTTTGAATAAACGGCTGTGAATATGTGAAAGTCATATATTTGAACAGCGGATAAAGACGTGAATATGAAAACGATCTTCGCAGTTATGAACACTACTTAAGCAGTAGCGAAAAGAAGGCTTGAAAAAAATTCAGGCCTGTACGGGATTTGAAACCATGACCTCTGCGATGCCGGTGTTAAGTAGTGTTCATAACTGCGAAGATCGCTTTCATACTCACCTCAGTTTGACTGTTAAATCAGGTTAACCATTTCAGCTAGATTGCCCAGGTTGTGAGTTTGAATTGATTACGCAAATTATCCATTGTTTTTCAATTGAAGCAAATAAGCTACTTCGTGTGAACTACTTCGACCAGTTAAGCTAGACTATGCAGTTTGCACAGTTGATCCTATTGAGCTAATTATGCATTTTGTCCAGTTAAATCCTCTAAGTTAGTTCGGCAACATGAGCCAATTAAGATGGATTGTGCAATTTGTGAAGTTTGACCTTGTGAACTACTTGTGAATCTTACTATCTTTGCTGGTTTGACAATTTAACCAGTTAGTCAAACTATCGAAAACAGGAAAAACCTGCGAAAATTACAAAAACTCTTTCCACTGGTTAGACTTGTCTTAATGGTTAAACTACCTAAAAGTGTTCCAGGGGACAAAATGCATAACCAACTTAACATGTTCAACTAGACAATCTTTTCAATCAAGTTTAATTGGTTGACCAGGTTGAATAATAAAACTAGCAAAAACAGTCAAACTGCAGAAATTTCATGATCTACATTGAATGGTTGAAGTAGTTTATACGGTCAAACTACCTGAAAGATTCAACTGGACAAAATGTGTAACTAGCTTAAATGGTTTCACTGCACAGCCTACCTTAATTAGTTCAACTGGTTAAAATGGTCAAACTAGCTCAATTTGTTAAAGGGCTTAATTAGTTTAATTGGTTTACATTATCAAACTTGCGAAAAGAGTTGAGCCGCTCAAATTTAACAAGCTATCTTAATTGGTTAAGGTCGTTAAAAGAAACTAGCCTTCAAGGTTTAACCGGACAAAATGCATAACCAGCTTCAACGGTTGAATTGAAGAAAATGCATAACTGGGTGAAATGATTCAACTGCAACATCTGTACAATGAAGCTTAATTGAATCCAGTAGTTAAAATGGTCAAACTAGGTAAATGGATTCAACTGGTTATTTAGTCAAACAAGGGAACACTCTTAAACTGCAAAAATTGGACAAACGTAAAAAAGTAGTTTCAATGGTCAAAGTAACCAAGGGCTAGGGCATAATCAAACAAAAAACATCACTGGCTTAAAAAGTCAAACAAGCAAAGATAGTTCAACTGAAAAAATTGCAAAAAGCTAAGCTAGAGTTAAAATGTACAAATTGCAGAAAGTAAGTGAGTTAGCTCAATTGGCTGTTTTGAGCTTTATGAAATGAAAAAGCAACGGTTTGGCTTTTTTGTTGCTAAATTATCCTGTTTTTAACCTTACCGCACCAAAAGGTTTTATAGCACTGAAACAGGTTTTTCGCATGTGGGCAGCTGATCACGCTAATTTTAGCTTTATTTTACTGAAAAAAATATGGTGTTTGCTTTCTGTGCAATAAAGTTAAAAATAACGACATTCGGCAGCGAACAACCGAAACAACGTTTTGAGGGATATTAAGCTGAAATCTGTGTGATTAGCTACATAAAGGCAGAAAACCTCTTTTCAGAGCAATGAGACTAAAAACAGCTTAATTCAACAGCAACAACAACAAATTCCACAATCTGGCTTCAATGGCTCAACTGTCAACTAGCTAAGATGGTCAAACATAGCTTAAGATAAGGGTCATCGGACAAAAAGCATAACGAGCTTAAACAGCTTAAGTGCCTAAAGAGTCAAACTAGCAAGGAGATAGTTAAACGAAAAAAAAAAAAAAGAAAGTGGTGGAAACAGCCAAACGGCACAAAATTCAGAGATTAGGTGCGTTGGTTCAACTGGCTCTTATTGACAAAATTCAACAAAAAGCTAGATTGGGTCAAAAGGTTTAAGCGACCAAACAAGCAAAGCAGAGAGACTCAAGAAAAACTGGACAAACTGGCTGAATTGACTTATCTTGCCACGTAATTACGCTCTCTTTACGCCTGTCACATTGAAAAAAGTTTTTAGCCTGTTTGTAGCTAATCACGCTGATTTTGGCTTAATTTCACTTAATACAACGGTTCGGTTATTTTATTCAATTTGCCCAATAGAATTATTTAGGCTTGTTTGACCGTGTGAACTACTTCCACTAATAAAAATAATTGATACCCAGGAAGTTGTCTTAATACTACTTGTGGCTGATATGTCAACTGATGAATGGTCGATAGAAGCAGAGGGGAAGTATAATTCAAATACCACTGTATATTTACCAGCTCTATGTTCATACATGTTTTGCACTATCCAAATGTAGTTTCATTTCATAGATTTTTTTATTGAACTGAAGAAAGTCTTGATCAATGAATCTAACCCTGTAATGTTAACTTCATCACAGAACTGCCCACTTTTATTCATGATATATGAAAATGTGTTATACAAGTCTGCACTACCAACAGACAGATTTAATCTTTCATTAACATACTCCTGATAAGTAGTAGTCATTAGTGTATTATTATTATTATTATTATTATTATTGTTGATAGTTGTATTGACAAAATTAATATCAGCCATGTGTGCTTTCATGTGCCGGTGCCTGTTTGACATTAATTATACGTCTGCTCTTCAGATTCAAATTACCCCTCATTACTCTTGTTCCATCGGTTTTCAAATAACTTTTTGTTTCTGTAAGAACATACTTCTTATTGCTTCTATCTGTTGCACATCTGTTGGGTCTGCTACATTAATCACCTAACTGCCTTTCATATCAAGACCTTCTGATACGTCTAAAGTAAAATTTTTACTGTCAACATATTTCTTGTTAATCACATCTTTATCACTGTTATCGCTGCTGTCATAATCTGGTATTAACAACCTGCTTTTTAATGTTTTGGGTAACAGATTGTTCATATCTATTTTCTTGTCTGTGATGTGTTTCATCTGCCTCAAGGTTACAGGTTCATCATCATATTGTGCTCAACTGAGGTCATATATAGTCTTACCATCAGCATTCCATCTAATACCACTTCCCAATCTCAAGAATTGGTTATCATCACTTTTTTTTTTCAGTATGTTGGTTCACTTAATATCTTATTAACAGCATCAGTTTTTGAAGTGGGTGCATGTAAGTTCTTAATACCGTTGTTATTCATGTTTATATCAACTTGGAAAGTCTCAGAGCCACTCAGTGTGTTGTTTCCGGTAGTGTCAACATACTTTTTATTATTAGGATCTCTTGCACATGATAGATCTCCAAGAATAACAAACTTTTCACTGTTCATATACAAAGTACCTGTCATTATCTGAGTTCCACGAAATAATAAAACAGTTAAAAGGTGTGCAGAATCACCACAACCAGATAGCTTCTGTGGTCCTGTATCACCTTCATCACCCTTAGGTCCTTGTGCTCCAGTGTCCCCTTGATCAACTTTTCGACTTCTAACACCAATGTCAGCTTTATCACCCCTAGGACCTTGAGGACCGGTATCTCCTTTGTCAACTTTTGGACCCTGAAAACCGGTATCACCTTTTGGTCCTTGGGTTACAGTATCTCCTTCGACACCTTTAGGACCCTGAGACCCAGCACAACCATTACCAAGTGGCCCCTGTGCACCAGTATCACCCTTGAAGCCTTGTGCACGAGTATCTCCTTGGTCACGTTTAGCCTCCTGGTGCACCAGTATCTCCTTTTAGACCTGTATCACCTTTGTCTCCTTTTGAACCAGTATCACACCCTTATCACCGTTTAGTACTTGTGGCCCTGCTGCTCCTCTAACACCTTCTACAGTTGTATCTATTTTGCTATGATCTCCTTCAAATGTACCCATTATAGCGGAGCTCGCAGCGCGCGCAGCGAAGCCCCATAATTATACAAAATAGTAGTAACCCATCAAGCCGAAAAAGTTTGGACTTGACACCATACGGGCATCTGTATAAGGTGCAACTTTGAGCATGCGCAGCTCACTGCATTACAGCCACTATCTTAGCCATTACGTAATGGAAGGGCGAAGGAGAAGGTAATGCGCAAATGCGATTGCATGTGTAACTAGGATACTCCATTAGTGTGCGCCAGGAAACACCGGCAGATCACTATGAAGTGCGAATACTCGAGTGCCGAGCTCTAGTGCAGCGTGCGACAGGCACACAGTTAGGCATTAAACGAGGCGTTCACGTGGCCTTGTTGGTGTGAGGCCGGGTGAGCAAATAATTTGCGACACGCGTTTTGAGCGGGAAATCAAATTAATGAGGTTGTAGTTTAACAGTAATTCTCACTATTTTTTATTTTTCTAATGAACTTGCAAAGCAACAATACCAGCAAAGCTAAAGCTTTGTCAACCGCAGGAAATTGTTATAATTTAAGTCTGCAGAGAGAGGGTTTTGGGTGAAAATAGGCCGGAAAGAAATAGACAGGGCGGCCAAAGAAAGCAAGGGCAAAAGGCGTCAAGTGAGTCGAGAAAACGCGCAAGAAAGTTAGAAAGGACGCTAAAATAAGCAGAAAACGGCGAGAGGAACGCGAAAGAAAACAAGAAAAGACGTATGTAAAAAGCGAACATCTAACAAAGAGCAACGTGAGAAGGAAATACAAAGAGCTCTAGGAAACAAACTAAAAAGGGGTCATCATCAAAGAGAAGTGAGCCACAAAGGTTCTGAGAAAGAAGAGGAGGTAAGTCGTGTTTCATCTGGATTTTCTCTCACTCTAAGGCCCAGAAAAATTCAAATCTTTTTTCTAATCCTCGTTTGATACCAGCTTCAGCTTATAAACCCAAATCACCTTTCCGTGAAACAGTGACGTTTGTATTCATCCCTTTAAAACCCTCGCGCCGGTTCATTGCTCGAATAACGTTTCAAAGTGTTCGTATTCTTAAAATTATTTATTGTCTTACCTTTTGGAATGTATAATACAGTCGTGGTGTTTAGGGGAAGTAAGTTAACCTACGGATTATGTCTGCTGGAAAGTTTTAAAATGATAGCGAACTGCGTGAGCAAGTATATTCTCCATATACTGTCCTCTATACATTTCCTAATGTGCAAGCAAGGAGAATTTGTTTAACAATCAAGAGCTTCTTCAATTGATTATCATTTCCTTTATTCTCATGACCTTAATGCTTGATTCAGGGATGATATTGAAAAGAGAAGTTAGATGCTAGCCACTCTTAGGAATTAAAGTGTTAATAACTGTAAACATTTGTTAGCAACAAAAGTTAATATTGTTGGGAAAGCTGATAGAAATAAGCTGTTTCCAAAACTAACATCAAAGTTCCTCTTTAGAGGGAATCTAAAAAGTGTGCCATAAAGGAACAAGCAGGTGTTATAAAAAAGTTTGCATAGCTTTTTCATCAGTACACATTTCTTTTTTTAAGAGTCTTGTTTATCCAGCCTACGCTGAATTCTAATTTTTCTCCCAAATTTTCTTTTCTTTCGAGTATTCTTAGGTCTCCTTGCATCACAGCTTATGCATCAAATTTATATAGTAAAATATTGTATCCTTCTTAAAACTGGTTTATCAGAATAAGAATGAGTTAATAAGCACAAATGTGGCTTTCACAGTCATAACCTCCAGGTTTTAAAAAAGTCATTGCCTACTAAATTCCTTAGTTCCTTTACCCTGACAGCCCAACCTCATCGAAACATTTCCAGGAGTAATAAGCAAATTAATGATACAGACAAGAGAGGCTATTCCCAAATACACCCTTCTCGATCTTGTTAGCTTATTATGGACATGGCATTTCAAACATTGCATACATGCAACAAATTTTCCATCCCCTGATTAATTGTTTTGTAATGGTGTTTACAAGTTGTGGGAAATGGTTGGGTTGTGAAATGACTGAAAACTTTTTATATATCAATAAAATTTATTGTTGCGTTTCATGTGAACACGTTGCAACAACTCCAAATTCCAATAAATTCAATTATTGGCAAACATGAGAAAATACCATTCGAAACTTTTCAACCTATATAATATAACCAACAACATCAACTCAACTTTTAGACCGAAGAGGAAACTTAATTGATGTTTGGAATTGATTTTATGATGTGAAAATGAAATCGGGGTATTATCTCACGTTTTTTTGCTTGAAGACATCCATTACACCAGAGGTTACTATGACAGGCCAAATGTAGCAATATTCAACTCATCCAATTTTATATTCAATTATGTACTTTCTATTCAACTATGAGTTTGATATTCAACTTTCATTCAACTTCCAACGTGTTGTTTTGTATTCAACTCATTACTTGATATTCAATTATGTATCTAACATCCAACTGTTTATTTGACATTCAGCTTTTCATTCAACATTCAAATACTCATTTAGCATTCAACTATTCATTCAACATTCAACTATTCATTCAATCAATTAGTGTTGAGCCCTCTCTCTCTCTGTTCAGTGGTCTTATCAATAAACAAGTAACCTAGCCCTAGCTCAGTGCTACTCAGGTGTGCTCAAGTTCTTGTTTTCTCGCGCAACTTCATCGTTGTAAAATATGGAGGAAAACTTTCTTAGATTATCACAATGCTTAAACCAGGAAAGCCAAGTAGTTCAAGAACTTGCTGCAAATAGCGGAGGAAATGTTGCTGCTGTTGTAAATGACGAAGAAGCCTCAACAAGCACAAATGCAGCCATGTCAATGGTAGTACAAGCTGTTAGTAGAGCTCGAGCGATGATGAGCCAGTTCTCCGCCAGAAGATTTTACGCGCGTTTAAACGGTCGAGAGCGCCTTCGAGCCACTTCGTCCTCTGTGACTGCTCCCGTTAAGTTGAAGAAAGCAAAAGTCGAGAATAGTAAGGTATTCGGGTTTGTATTGGTGAGGTTTGATGATGAGGGGGAGGATGGTTACTCGGATAATGCTCTATCTGACAGCTTGATGTTGACTAACGAAAGAACTGTCTTGACAGGCTTTGTAACGCTCAGCTCGAACGATAATGAGCAGGCAATCAGAGAGGTGTTGTCCGATGCTATCCAGATGAAGTATCCTGAAGTTGCAAGTGAGGACCTAGTTTTCCTCAAGGCAAACAGTAGAAGATTGATGAAACCAGCAGTCTTAACAGCCAGTTAAACAATGTCATCGTTACCAAGACTTATGAACGTAGCTTCAGAATGGTATTTTAATAGACATAATGTCCCTGAAGGTTTACTACATGTGTGTGTGTGTGTGTGTGTGTGACTTTTCTGTCTTAGAGGTATCTAATTATTTTCTAGGTCCATTCTTTCCATGACTAGGTATAGAGCTTGAGTGTAAAGATCAATACCCAATTGTGTGGACATTGTTAGAGGGTCAACAACATCCAACACGTAAGACTCGAAGACATCCTTGTTGTCTAAAGGAATTGACTCAACAACGACATTATTATTTTCTTCTGAAGGAGAGGGGCCTCTGGATCACATCCATATAGCTGAACATCAGCTGGCTCTTCATCAATATTCCCGTGTGCAAGTGGATTGTTAGAATGGATCATGCCATTTATCCAGAATTGAGATGGGGTCCAATTACCCTCGGTACTTACTGCATGGTTGTTGAAAGCTTCGGAAAATTCATTTAAACAATGACTTATTCTGGGGATGAAAATGGTATGCAATACAAAGATCTGAATCGGATCCTCCACATTGAGAAGCCCTGATGATTCCATAGCATAAAAAGTATACTAAAAAAGGTGACAAACGCATTGGTACACCTCTCTCCAAAGACGTTCAATCCTTTGATTGTGAGTTGAGGGACCAGCGATGAAACTTGCAATCCTAAGGATCTTAAGTATCCTGTAAGATACACTTGTCCACTTGTCGCTCCATGCTCACATATATAACCTCGTACAACCTTGTCTAACTCGTCGTCAGACAGTTTACTAAACGATTTAGTCTTCTAAACCATAGTCGTTTATTCTCCTTGATACAGTCCAACGAGACACTCCCAACATTTCCGAAATTCTAGTGCAGCTAAATCCCAAACTAAGGAAGTCTTTGAGCAACTCCGCAGAGACATCGAAAGCTAGCTTACCAGCTTCATCACTTTTTACCATGGGACAAACTATTTGCAACTGTAGTCGGAGATAAAGATGATAAGGCTAAACATTGCCGCAGAGCAGATGAGACATCATAGAAGGCTGATGAGAAATTATCTTAATATTCTTTGTCACCTGCGTTGATGTTCGAGCTGCTGGGCTGTTCGCATTGCAACAGACGCGGAAGCTGTGGCCATGTTTGTTATAGGCCATGTTGCCCTTAACTGGCTAGATGTATTACGGGCTCAAGCATAATTGATTGAATGAAAATTTGATCGTTGAATGAATAGTTGAATGTTGAATGAATAGTTGAATGCTAAATGAATATTTGAATGTTAAATGAAAAGCTAAATGCCAAGTAAACAGTTGAATCTTAGACACATAGTTGAATATCAAGTATTGAGTTGAATATAAAACAACACGTTGGAAGCTGAATAAAAGTTGAATATCAAACCCATAGTTGAATAGAAAGTACAAAATTGAATATAGAATTGAATGAGTTAAATATTGATACATTTGGCCTGTTATAGGTTACCGAGTTAAACAACAGAAAATATCAAAAAAAGACGTCGTCTATTTCCAGCCAGAGGACAATCATGAAACTAGCCGAAAGGGAAAAGGTTTAAAAAAATTACAGGTTCAAACTTGAGTTAAAAATTTCTTTTCTTTTTAATTTTCTACGCTAAACAGAGGCGGTTGAAACGTTAGGGAAAAACAAAGGGGAAGCAGTCATACCTAGAAACTTCAAGAAGATATGAGAAGCCCATACGATTCTGGCCTGTTGTTTTACTGACTGATCGTTCTCACGTGTAAATACTCCAATCGACTGGTGGTATCTGAATGCAAAGTTGTTTACCATCATTTCTTTCAATTTTAGCCCATTTTCCCAAACCAAAATTACAATTCACGCTTAATAGAATATAATTTAAACTGATGCTGTCAGCATACACTTCACCTGAAGATAACATTCCCAATCCTCGAATATTTGCTCAAAACATCAGGAACAGGTCGAGAGCTGTTTGAAGATACCGCTGACTAGCATGCGTGTTTTGAGAACATCTTCCCTAGGTTCCAGGCTGAATCTATGTATTAATATGCTTATACAAAATACTGTTTATGAATTTTTCATAATAAGCCCAATCAGTATAGGAAAACACTTTGACGACATTTCAATATGTGGTCCCCATACTGTGGTCATCCATGTAATACAAACAATAGTATCCACGTAAGACACTGAACAAATCTTGATACTGTGTGCTGTTATACACATAATTGAGATTTAATCGATTGATAACTTCTTAAACTCTTTTGGACAATTTAGACCAAAACTGTCGAGGTATTCAATTATCTCTTTTGATGTTCATAACAACCCAAAGATTACCACCATCCACACTGTCATCAAGATTAATAACATATTATCCTATCCTATGCTTATCACTTATTGGATCTCTGAAAAAACACACCCATAAACTGCTTTATCCCCATTCACTTTACTCAGTGGATTATATCGTAATTGGACGATGCTTTATTAACAAAATTGCACCCACTAGAGGAACTCGGTTAAATGGTGAGTTTTTGCTCAACATTACTCCTTTTCCTTAGGTTGTCTTTTTTTGTATTGCTTTTATTGGAACCAGCAACTATGGTACCTGCGTCATTAGGCCAACTATGGTGGTGGTGCTTGAGGATACAATTCTCCCCCTTTAGATCAACTACCTACATATGGAGGTGTTCGATATGGCATCAATAACTTATTGTATATTGTAATGTGCTCGCCACTACCATCCGATATTGGTGGTGGAAGAGGTGATGGCAGTTGATATCTCTATCAGCTGCGAAATCCATTCTTTATTCCTCGAGATCAGCGAAACGCTCCATACTGTCCAGTGGTTTACTATGCAAAAATCATGTCACTGTAATTGTTAATCCGCGAGTGTACACAACGTTAAATCCTTTGGTTTCCCGTAAGTTCCTGACTCTTCAGAAACTGATTCCTTAGCTGTATACAAGCAAATTATGAACGAAGGGAAAAAAAAAGGCTCAGCGCTGAGGTTTGACCTGGACTAGAATAAACCACCTAACCGAATATGCTCTGACGGACTGGTCTGAATACAAAGGATAACCAATGTCAGAAACTGGAATTAAAAACGTTGGAAAATCCCCTTAAATGTTCGTAATTTTGTTCCAAACAGATTTTTCTCTAAATCATTCGGGGTACTTGAATGTGCTAAATGTTCCGTGTATCATGATTATCATTTAGAAAACAGTTCATTTGGCTCCTCGTCAGGAATTTCCAGTCTCTCCTCAGGTGACTCTTGGAGCAGTATCAATTTCTTAACTGGTTGATCCAACATTGACCCAGTTGCGGATTGGACAGTCACGGATCTGACTTAACCATTGTTATTTCAATCTGGAACAAGGACTCTAGCCATGGGCCACTTGTTTCTGAAACTGTGTCCTTTAACCGAACGATATCACCTTCCGCGAGGTTTCTTTTCTGTCATGCCCGCCTTTGTCTCAGTTGTAGGCCTCTGCAAGTACTCCTTACTCCACCTATTTCAAAATTTATTAGTAATATGCTGTTCACGCCTCCAGCGTCGCCTGCAGTAAACATCTTCCCTTTGGAACTTTCCTGGAGGAGGATGTATCTGCTTGGTTTTGTGGGTAGGAAGTACATTTGGCGTCAGTGGCAATAGTGACAGGCGATTATTAACAGTTCCTTCAGCTTCACATAACAGAGTTTGCAATGATTCGTCGTCTAAACTGTGACCATGTTGCTTCAAAGACGCTCCCATAATGTTCTGCATAGACCTTACTTGTCGGTTCATTTTTGGCTCCAACAAAGTTGGTACCTTGGTCGCTACGAAGGTCTCTTATAGTTCCTTTTCGAGAGATAAAAGGCCATAAGGCTTGTGGGAATGAATTCTGTCTCCATGGAGTGTGCCTCTTCGATGTGAATTGCACGGCTAGCCAGGTACGAATGAATGTGTGAACTCTACTCTAGTTGCAACTTACACCTGGAACCTTGAAGACTCATTACTGATGAATCCAAGCACGACCTTACTGTCCGTGTAATAGAGTTCATGAAGTTCCTCGTAATCTAACTCTTCCTTCAGCATTGCTGCAACTCTTACTGAAACAGTAGCTATAGTCAGTTCAAGTCTTGGAATAGTCACTATTTTCAGTGGTGCTACAAGAGCTTTCTCAATTACAAGGGAACAATGAACTCTACCATTTTCATCAATCAACCTGAGATAAAGGCATTTTCCGTATCCACTTTGCGATGAATCTGACATTTCATGTGGCTGCACAGTGGTAATTCTTCCAAAATCAGCAAGCTTGAACTGCCTTGGGATGCCCAGCTGCTAAGATAACAGTTACTGATTTCTCCACCTTTCCCATTTAGTGAGAACTTCTCCATCGATTGGCTCAGCCAAGCTTTTCCTGAGACAGATCTCTTGATGTTTCTGCTTCCCAACAAGGACGACAGGTGCAATGAGCCCTAGTGGGTCAAAGATCGAGCTTATGGTTGCCAGTATACCTCTACAGGTGCTTGGCTTGTCCTTCAAGTTAGCTCTGAGTTTAAATGCATCTGATTCAATACACCATCGTACGTCCACGGTCCTCTCAATTGCTAACTTCTTCCTGCCTGAGTCCAGACCCCCTGATTTCCTCTGCTCTGTTTCCAGGGGGTACTGTCATCATCACCTCTCGACGTTGCTGATCATTTTTTCAGTTTAAATCCTCCTGTGCACACATCCCCTCAACAGCATTTACGAACTCTGCATCGCCCTCTTCTGTCGAAACTGATTTCAATGCATTGTCGACATAGAAGTTCTTCCTCAGTGTCTCTGCAGCTCTCACACCAAACTCTCCTTCAGTGTCTTCCGTTGTGGGTTTCAAAGCAAAGCTGGAACATCCTGGGGATGAACCAGCCCCAAAGAGGTGTCCCATCATACAGTACTTTTTAGGTTCTAAAGTCAGGTATCCATTCGGCCACCACAAGCGGCAGAGGTAATCCTGATTATTCTTTGTTATTTTGACTAGAAAGGACTTCTTCTCTATGCCTGCCACGAGATCCACTCTCTCCTTTCTGAATCTTGTGAGGACTGCAGTTAGCTTGCTTGTAAGGTCGGGCCCTTCTAACAAGTGATCATCGAGCGACTTACCCTAGTAACGAGCTGAACAATCAAATACCACGCAGATGCTGCTTGGTTTTCTGGGGTGATAAACTCCCATGATGAGGTAAGTACCAGAATTTTCCTTTTTGAGGAGCTAGTTCTTCAACGTTCACCTTTCGGGCATATTCCTTATCGATATTGTCAGACTCGAAGGTAGTGTAGTCAGCATGATACTTCGGGTCACCTTGGAGTCTCTTCTTTAGGCCGTGCAGGCGTTGCACTGCTTGAAGACTCATTTGGCAGTTGGAAATTCTCTTCCCTAAGCAGGGGCATTTCGTGATGCATGTCATCTCTATAGCAGATTCCGTCTTCCACTTTCTTCAGGAACTGACGATCTTCTCTGGGAAGTGCGGTTCCATTTTTCCTCTTTAGGTAATACGATTCCATTTTCCCTTTCAGCAAAGTCCAACTCAAACATCTGTAACACCATTTGAGGTCTTAGCTGTTCTTCGATCTTTCTCTCAGCAACGTGTCAGTTCACTTCATCATCTGTGCTCCTGTTGAGACCCTGAGTTTGGCAATGTACTTGTTTACTGCTCCTGTGGTTTGCAGGAACGTTGACACACCATCCTAATGCTGATCGTACTGCGCAAGACTCATCCTCGTTTCCAAAATTAATATCTCTCGGTCCTTGAGTGCTGGGGCATGTCAGACTGATGAGAAGTCCTATTTCTATATGTCCTCCACTAGCATTATCAAGGAAAACGTACACGTATATCTTGTTATTTGGATTGTCCTTGTGGTAGAATCACACTGGGACTATACCCATAGTTATTGAAACATCACCAGCCTCGGTCAAAATGCGAATGACAGTGCACACATTGACTTGCTCTTCCCTTTTCCTTTTACTGGTTTCTGATTGCTAATGTTGGCTGCTCCTTCCTTCCGTCTTGACCTCTTCCGGTGTCCAGTTGTGATCGTGGAGTGGCCTTGGGTGTTTCCTATTGCGCATCTGGCATGATTTTCTACTCTTGGAAAACTTGACGATGTGTTCAGAACTATAGCAACCAAAGTATAAACCTTCGTCTCCAAGAAAGTCTCTTCATTCTACTACTCTTTGCTCTTTCAAGTGGTGCCTTTTGGAGCACAATGGGATAATAATTTTTTTCGGTGCCATTCCTTTCTGAGAGGCCTGTTGCAAAGTTTTTACGCCTTCCTCTCCTTGTCTTGCCCTAGCCCGACTTGCGATACTCGTAAACTGTATCTTTTAGTCTGCTGATGCCTTCCGCTGAGTAGACTAGTTCTGTTTCAAAATCGGATTGTTTGGACACAAACTGGCAGAAGTTATTGGAGTTGGCTGCCTGTCCCTTGTTACTTCTCATCTTGCCAACTCATTTCGTCCATTTACTGCCGAGGTATCTCAGCAGCTTTTCCCACAACTGGCGCAGAACATTGGGTGTGTTCAAGTCATTTATGTAATGCATGCTTATTATGGCGTTCCTTGCTTGCTCAAGGGCAATAGAAAACTCTTGTAGCCCTGTTCTGTCGTTAGGTTTCACAGCAGGCCAGCTCGATAGTTTTATGATGCATGCACTTGCAACCTTCAATGTGTTTCTGCAAAAGTCGTCTAGCCACTTTTTACGAGTCTTCACTCTTCATTTGTAATCAGCCGTTAACCAGTGCCTTTGCCTTTCCACTGGTGTATTGATCCAAGAAATACAAGAATTCACTAGGATTATCTACCTTAGATTCTATGAGAACATCAAACGCTGCAATGAATGATGGGTATGACATCACATCTCCGGAGAACATAGGTGGCTTATGGCTAGGTGAGAGACATCTGGCTTGTTACGTAACAATCATTTTTGAAAGTTCTGCCTATTTCCTTTGATTGTCAATATAGTCTTGATCTGGTCTTGTACTTTCTACAGGGCTTGAATCCTTTCCGTAAACGTACATACATCCTTGCTTATCGTCGTGATATAGCTTGGTTTCAGGGGGAGTTACATTGTCTTCTTAAATTTCTTCTTCTTTAATGGGAAGATTCCTTGGATCAAACAGTTGGGCGTTGAGTTCATACTATCAGCAATGACTGAGACGGGTGTGGTAACAGAAGTGGTCGTTGAAATGGTGCTGACAATAGCTGAGCATTGGAATTTCACAGAAGGCACCTTTAGACCGTTAGGTTGTGCCTCAAATAAGATCGGAATGGAAGTGAGTTTAGCAAGTACACTTTTCAAATAATCATTCGTGCTATCAAAGACTTGATCTACATTAAACTGCGCAGAACTTTTCTCTTCAGTCTTTGCCTCTGCAATTTGCTGCCGAAGTTCAAGCTCTCCAGAGGCCATTCTTAACGCTTGCTTCTTCTGGAAGAATTCTGCCTTAACCTCTTATGCTGCAGCCTTAGCCTTTGCTTCAATCATCTGTAACTTAGCGGATGATTTTGATAAATTGGAGAACCTTGAGTGACCTGATGATTGAGATTTCGGCTGTTTGTACGCAACTGACTGATCTTAGCCTTATATGCTCAAAACAACTCTTTTTGCTGCCTTGTTGGTAAACTACTCAATTCTTTAGGCTATTTTACACTGGATAAAGGTTTGTGCCTGTTTACAGCTAATCACATTGATTTTAGCTATACCTCACTTAAAAAGAAAGTTTGTGTTGTTTTGGTGCTATATAACGCTTTTTTAAGTTTTATCGCACTGGAAAAGGCTTTGAGCAGTTTGCAGCTAATCACAACTGATTCTAGCTTTATGTCACTAACAACATTTTTGCTTTTTTGCTGCTAAACCACGCTCTTTTTTCCTCTAGCACACGTTTTAATCGCTTGTTTGCCATTGAATTAAGCTGTTTCTAGTTTTATTTCACTGATAAGAGATTTCTGCCTTTATGTCACTAGTCACATTAATTTCAGCTTTATCTTGCTCAAAACGTTTCGGTTTGCCGCGGAATGTCGCTATTTTTTAGCTTCGTTGCACAGAAATAAGAAATGATTATTTTTTTCGGTAAAATAGAGCTAAAATTAGCGTTATCAGCTGTTGACATGCAGAAAACCTTTTTTCAGTGCCATAAAGCGTCTTGGTGCGATAATGTCAAAACAGGATAATTTAGCAACAAGAAAGCCAAACCGTTGCCCATTCCATTACATAAAGCTTCAAACAGTCAATTGGGCAACCTCACTTTCTGCCTTTAGTGCGGTTTAACTCTAAACGATGGCGATTTCTAGTGGTCAGAATATGCTAAAATTCGCCATTTCAAATATATTGAGAGGGCAAATTCTAACTTTCTTGGCAAACTAGAAAGGTTTTTAAGGAATCTCATATAAACTCTGCGGCTTAACTATGTGAATCAAATATTTTACAATGTTACAAAATATGCCTATTTTTCAATTCTCGAGACGTTGCGACGGTCCCTTCGGACTGGAAAATAATAATGGCCCCGAATAGAGTCAGAAAATTATTTCGAATCAAACTAAATCTAATTTAGTTCTTTCCTAGGTAAAGTCTTTCTGTTGACAGAGTTTTAGGCAAAATTATTTTTGACGCAAAATTGACGGAGTGAAAATAAGAGAGAGACAGCCTCTTACGCACTCAAAACAAGCACTCACAAATAAACTGCACAATTTGCAAAACCTTTTTTAATTGGTTGAAGTATTTCAAATGGCTAAAATAGCCTAATTACTATCAGGATATGTATACTGCATGTAAGATTAATAATACTAGCAGATGCTATGAGGTTAGAAGTCCCCTTAATAACCAAACCGACAAAGAAACAAAGTGGTGAGTTCCTTTGTACATTGCATGCAGCTATTGGTGTACCATTGTTATTAAAAGCATTACTGGTAATGGTATTCAAGGGTTATAGCAGATATTGTAAATGCCAGTTTCAGACATTGGTTATCCCTTGTCATCGAACTAGTCCGACCGAGCATCTTAGGTCATGTGATTGGACAGTTTCCTTGATTTGTTTTTAACCAAAGGGACACACAGTCAAACCACTACCAGGTAAAATGCTAAATTCGATGTGATTCTTTGATACCCTTCCAGCTATAGTACCACCTACTATTAAAAGGAAAACGACAAACTGCCTGACAGATTTCGTTTTTTGAACCTCGTATAACCTTTTCATACCAACCGAAGCTTATTAGTAGAGTATTTGTTAATTATGTACTTTTATTTATTGTTTTCTAGTGATTTATCCATACAATTGAAGTTAATAACACTTCTCTTTCTGAAGCTCATTTGTAATATGTTTATATGAGTCAGATGTTTTTTCATTATTAATTGAGCATAAAGCCCACCATCGAGAATGCCATCATCAACACCGAGTGATATGGAATGATCGGTAAATGTTCCAAATATTCCAAAAAAAAGTAACATCTATCCATTTGTCGTTTGCGTCTTAGGTGAATACTGTGTCATCTGTTTTAGAGTAGTTATGTGCTGCAGGCCCCACTCAAACATAATGTAATGAAATTCATTTGTTCTATCCACATCAAACGTTAGTTTGTTACTAGATACTGTGAAATATAAATCGTTGGAAACTGCATATTTTGATCTTGACTCTAGGAATTTGGTTTCCTTTTTATTATAATAACCCATTACATAAATAATAAAGTATACAGGTACAAATACCGATGTTGCTTGTTTAACACCCCTCGCATATGATTTTGATATTTGCAATAAATATAGCTAACCCGTAAAAATTGTACAGTAAACATATTGCAATCAGCAGACATCGGTTTTTTAAAATCAGTTTTCAGTAAATTGTGTCTGTGTAACCAGATATATATTATTTGGAGCATCGTCAGCATCAATTGGCGTGGCTAAATAGATTATTTAATTATCAGCCATATCGAAATCAGTAGCCTTGCAGTCTTTCCATCAGACCCAAAATCTCCTTTCTCACGTTTGTCACCTTTTAAACCCTGTAAATGATCAAACTAGCCAAAACAATAAGAGTGCACAAACTGTACAATCTCAAATGTTCGATGTAGTTCAAATTCTTAAAGGTTAGTTGGGTTACCCGAAATAAATGCATAACTAGCTTAATAGCATCAACTTCAACTGCACAATCAAGCTTAATTGGTGAAACTCGTTACATAGTCAGAGTAGCTTAAATGGGTAAACTGGTTAAATAGTCAAACTAAGGAAGACACTTGGTTATCAGGAAATAATAAGTATTATATGAGAAAGCCAGAGCAAAATTACCACACGTTAATAACACAAAATCACTGATATCTGGTGAAAATGCCCTAAAAGCCCTAAATAATGTTACTATCTTACATAGTTAAACAACTTAACATAGATTGTGCAGTTTCTACAATGGAACCATTTAATCTAGTATGCATTTTTAGCAGTTAAACCATTTGTGCAGTTGAACCAATTCATCTACCTCAACTAAATAAGAAAGATTTTTCAATCTATGCAGTTCAAATGTCTTACCTGGATTGACAATTTTACAAGTCAAATCGATTAAAATTGTATAACTATTTTCAATACTTCAAGATACTTAACTAAATGGTGCAGTTATATATGTGCAGTTTTGCTCAGGTTTAATTAGTTTAACTCGCTAGGATAATTAAACTAGATTAATTGGTTCACATGATTAAGTAGTCGAACTAGTTGAACTTCATAAATAACAGTAGTAGATAATTAATAGTAGATGCATGGTCAATAAAGCTGAAATTGTTCGAGGGGACAAAATTCAAAATTAGCTGGAATGGTTAGACTAAACAAAACGCATAAGTAGCTGGCTCAACCAGCTAAATTCAATTGAGTGACAACAGTTGAACTGTTCAAACTTCACAATCGACAAAAATTTCGCATTATTGGTTAAATGCTTTCACGGAAAAAATGCATAACTAGCTTAATGCGATAAACTGCAAAAACTGCACAATCTTGGTTGATTGGTTGGGTTGGTTGACATGGTTTAACTAGCTGCTTCAAATTAACAAAGTGCACAACTAATGCAATCCATGTAATTGTACAATTTGAACAATTTTTTAACAAAAATCTAAAGGAAATGCTTTAAGTATTTAAAATGATTAAACTATTTTAATTGATTCCCCGGTTAAATTGTCAAATAAGCCAAGGCAGTTAAACTGCAGAGAGTGCAAAATAGTTGTCAATTGGCCAAAGTAGTTGAAATCGTCAAACAAGCTGATATGCCTCAATTAAACAAAAACCATAAATATCTTAATCAGTTCAACTGCTCAAACTGCACAATCTAGCTTCAGTGGCTCAATTCTCAAGTAGCTAAGATGGTAAAACAGCTTAGGGTTAGGATTAAATAGCTTACATAGCTTAAATGCCTTAATGGTCAAACTAAAAAATTGTAAACGGCAGAAAACTCAGACAGCTGAGGTTGTTTAATTGCCTCATGTGGACTAAGTCTATCGACAACCTAAATCAAATGGTCTAAGCGATCAAAGAAGAAAAAACGTGCAAAAAATGTGCAAACAAAAAAACTGGAGAAATGAACTTGTTTGCAACTGAATTACGTTTTTCCTAGATGTGTCACTTTAAATAAGTTTTTGTTCTCTGTTTGCGGCTAACTGCACTGATTTTCGTTTTATCCCAGTTAATACAACGTTCCAGTGACTTTTGTGGCCAAGTTTTTATTTTCTCAGCTTTTTGGCACAGAAAAAGTTAAATTAGGCTGTTCTGGGCTTGATCTCACGAAAGGCACCGTTATTTTTTCTTGCTAACCTTCGCTGTTTTTATCTTTAGAACACTGAAAATATGTTCTCGTTGCTTTGTCGCTAAACTTACACTGTTTACACATTGATCGTACTGAAGACTAAGTCTTAACCTCCTATGCGACGAAATTACGTCTTTTTTACGTTTATCTCACCAAAAACATTTTGCGCTTTTTCGCCGCTGAATTGAGTTGGTTTAAGCTTTATCGTAGCCAAAAAAGGTTTTTATCCCATTTTTAGCCACTCGTCCTGATTTTAGCCAAACAACGGCTACTGCTAAATTAAGCGGTTTTTAGGCTTCTACAACCGAACATATGTTCGAATTGGACTTCACTCGCTCCTATTACCGTTATATATGCTTCCAAAAGATGATTCGGTTTTTTATCGCTAAATTTACGCTGTTTTAGTTTCATCTCACTGAAGACTAAGTTTCATGCTTCTATGCAGCTAAATTACGTCCCTTTTAGATTTATCTCACTAAAAACGTTTCTCCACTTGTTTGCCACTTAACTGAGTTGTTTTTAGCTTTATCACAGCCAGAAAAGGTTTTCCGCCCTTTTTGTGCTATCACCCTATTTAACCTTCAAAGGTAACTTGTGTAGCGGAGAAGACAATCCAAACGCACAATATAAATCACGATTTTAT